CCACTCGTTCGTGGTTACAATAATTATATAATTTATATGTCATGCCGAATAGGTAAAACTGGCCAATTAGCAAGAACTCGTTTAAAATTAAGTCCTTTCTAAAATTTTCCCTTATACATTTAAAGATATATTTTTTCATTTATGCTAATGTAAAAATTAATCATTTTGCACCAAAAGAACCTTAGAAAAATTTCCTAACCTTATTATTACAAATGCAATTTAACCTAATCCAGCTAAATATATTTTGGATAAATTTACAATAATTTAATAATAAACACAATGAAATTATTTTTTTCGTTAGTTCAGAATGATTTTTGCCAAATTATTGCATACACAAATTTTCGCTTGCCTTATTCGGCAAGACAAGCATTGCTAATTAAGCCAAAACAGCAATTTTACCTATTCGGTACGACGTTCATAAAACATATTTCTACTAGTCGAGACTCTGATCTATGTGAGCCAAATTCGTAAGTCTCGGCTGGTCGCAGTATATTCTTCGCTTTGAAAATCCACTTGTTTCCGTGGTTGCAGTGATTTCTGCACTGCTCACTGAGACTGACGTTAACCAGAGGAGACTCAAATTAGTCTTGTGGTTTCCTCTCGAATGCAGCCAGCGCCGAGGGAAAGATAACCAGTGGCACCACTGGTCGCTGAGCATTGTTTGCTACGGTGGTGCGATGGCATAAGGTAATATTAGGTCTCGGGTCTCTTGATTTCCCAGATTCGTAGGTTCGAGTATGCTGGTCGTAGTATGTTCTTATGCTTTACTACCATTTCATTACATGTGTTGCAGTTCCAACTAGGCGAAGAATGATATTACACGAAGTTAAATTTATCTTTCTACCAAATTCTTTTAATACTTTAAAATATTTTTTATTATGTATAAAATTATCCATTGCTCAAAGACTGTTTCAGGACTACATGGTCACAAGGTGCCAACCCTATAAATGAAATTTACTAAAGGTTTGATACAAATAAATTACACAGTGATATTGATTTGCCAAAAATCATCCAGCTGCCTTAATCTGGGAAGTTGCTTTACAAGGAACAGCAGCTTTGGCCCTCTAGGATACAGACGCATGCATTTCTCAAACTGAGTGAGACTTGATCTATGGGAAGACAAATGTAATCACGGCCTGTGTCTGAGTTATTTTCTTTATCCACTTTTCGGATCTGCAGTGCATTCTTCTGCTCACTGAGCTGGACATCTGAACTTGTGGAGCATAAATGTATCTGAGTTCACGTTTACTCGTAATCCAGCGCCCGAAATGCCCAGTGGCACCATCCTTTGCTGTATTAGACAGTGTCATGCAGTGGGATGTATTGTTAGGTCCGCACCGTTTGTCCGTTGCAGGAGATTGGTAAGCTGCTCTAGATCTTCAACACCATTGATCCTTCGGCGCTCGTTTCTTCCAGCCGGAACCTATCTTCTGGGCATTTTCTCTTCACTCTTACTCAACCCATCTCCTTTACTCTTTCATTTGCTCATTTGTGATTAGTACGCCAGACACAGGTTTTTGAAAACATTGAAGGCCTCTAAATAGGTAGTAAAGAAATTTTTTTGCTACTAAAATTGTAGCCATGTTATTGTAAGTCCGTGATTAAGGGAGACCATGGGTAGTGTCTGGTTGGCCTTATGCTGCAGTGTTCAGCAGCATGCGCCTGTTGACTGCAGATGTTGAGAGACAATTAAGTAATCAACCTCCTTACCTGGTCTGTTGGAGGTATTTGTTTTCTCCAGGACAGATACTCTTCTTGCATACCGTGGCTATCTCGTTGTGAGCCGGGAAATGAAGTAGGCATCGTTTTGATTTAAGCTGAGGGAATTTTACATCAGTAAGCCAGGGCCAACTGCGTTAAGAAGTCTGGAGGTGGATGATGGAGGGGTGTGACCTTGATGTTAGTAAGGACTCTTGATCCAAAGAATTCGGACTTGCGTCCCCTTCCATCCACCTAGTTACTCTATTTTCCCCCCCCCCCCCACATATAGGCTTTATCTCATTTGTGGCTTCGATAACGCCACAGGGGCGAAAATCGTAATAAATTAGTTCATAACGATTTTCTCTCTGCTAAGTTTACCCTCCCAGTCTTGTGCGTGATCGGACGGGTTTAGCGTCCTGTTGCATTATTACGTTTTTATTGAAGCTAAGCACATTTAAATCATATTTCAGCTAATGAATTTTAAGTGGAATGTAAATTCTTTTTTTCATCGTCAGAACTGATTCTCTGCGTAGTGGCCTTTGTGTTCGGCACATTGCTGGTTTTTTGCTAGGTTAAGTATTAGTTTTCACCAATTTACTCTCAGCTAGGTTGCATCAGCTAGGTTTAACCAGCTAGGTTTACATCCAGTTAGGTTTGATCCAAGTAACGGCTTCGTTATCAGGCCCTATCCCCACCAGTGAGGCTTGGTCATTGGTCGGCAGGGGGGCGTTGATTTTTCCCGATTATCCTCCATGTTAGGATCCCAGTCTTTGGTTTACTCCCACGGGTTTTACATTTCTGCTATTATTACTACGGTTTACTACCCAGCTAATTTTTTCACCAAATAGGTTTTCACCCAGTAGGTTTAACCAGCTAAGTTTTTTTTCACCTCAAACTAGTCTTTTCACCCACTAGGTTTACACCCCAGCTAAGTTTTTTCCCAACTAGGTTTTCCACCCAGCTGGTTTACTCCCAGCTAGTTTTTCACCCCAACTAGGCTTTTCACCCCAGCTAGGTTTACACCCCAGCTAAGTTTTTCACCCCAACTAGGCTTTTCACCCCAGCTAGGTTTACACCCCAGCTGTTTTTACCCCAATCTAGGTTGTCCCCAGCTAGGTTTACACCCCAGCTAAGTTTTTCACCCCAACTAGGCTTTTCACCCCAGCTAGGTTTACACCCCAGCTAAGTTTTTCACCCCAACTAGGCTTTTCACCCCAGCTAGGTTTACACCCCTGCTAAGTTTTCACTCCATTTAAAAGAAAAATTAAGCATCACCAGCCTAAGATGGTTATAAAATCGTGGAGTGGAAAGTCAGTATTCGTGTTTTAGGATTTTTTCAAATTTTCCACGCTGAAAAACTTGTATTAATTTATTTTATGAAACAGCGTGCCTAAGTTAAGCGTAGAAAATAATAATATATATACCGTGTAATTAAAATAATTACAAAGTCGGGCGGGGGCTTTTTTTGACGGTAATATCGTCAAAAAAAGAGAAGGCGTTTAATTTTGATGGTAATATGACTTTATTCTTGGCATGTGCAATTGTGTAGCTGGGAGGAGTGCAAGAGTCACATCAGCTGTGTTGTGTAGCTGGGAGGAATACAAGTCACATCAGCTGTGTTGTGTAGCTGGGAGGAGTACAAGTCACATCAGCTGTGTTGTTAGTTTGTGAGGATACAGTACATCAGCTGTGCTGTTAGCTGGGAGGAGTAACAAGTACATCAGCTGTGTTGTGTAGTGGAGGAGTACAAGTACAACCCAGCTGTGTTGTGTAGCTGGGAGAGTGAAAAAGAGTCCATCAGCTGTGTTGTGTAGCTGGGAGGAATACAAGTCACATCAGCTGTGTTGTGTAGCTGGGAGGAGTACAAGTCACATCAGCTGTGTTGTGTAGCTGGGAGGAGTACAAGTCACATCAGCTGTGTTGTGTAGCTGGGAGGAGTACAAGTCACATCAGCTGTGTTGTGTAGCTGGGAGGAGTACAAGTCACATCAGCTGTGTTGTGTAGCTGGGAGGAGTACAAGTCACATCAGCTGTGTTGTGTAGCTGGGAGGAGTACAAGTCACATCAGCTGTGTTGTGTAGCTGGGAGGAGTACAAGTCGCATCAGCTGTGTTGTGTGCTGGGAGGAGTACAAGTCACATCAGCTGTGTTGTGTAGCTGGGAGGAGTACAAGTCGCATCAGCTGTGTTGTGTAGCTGGGAGGAGTACAAGTCACATCAGCTGTGTTGTGTAGCTGGGAGGAGTACAAGTCGCATCAGCTGTGTTGTGTAGCTGGGAGGAGTACAAGTCACATCAGCTGTTTTGTGTAGCTGGGAGGAGTACAAGTCGCATCAGCTGTGTTGTACTCCTCCCAGCTACACAAGAGTAACATCAACTGTGTTGTTTGACTATAATATATACTGTTATGTAAGAAATAAGTAGCATTGAGAGGACGCAATGGAATCCAAGCTTCAATAGTATATGAATACATCTATTATTATTATTATTATTATTATTATTATTATTATTATTATTATTATTAGCATCAGTCATCATCCATTGAGGTGAACACGTGTAGGTTATTCAGCGGTGCTCGGTAATGGATGGGGAGGGTGCTTACATTAGGGGGTAGAGGCGTAAAGCTCTGTGTGTGGGGAAAGTTGACAAACTTTTTAGTTGAGGTACTCAGACCGTGACAGTCTGAGCACCCACCATCACCTTTGGTGACACTTAATGTGTCTACAACCTCTCACACATCATGACACACGCTCATTACCTTCCTTAAGCATAAGTCATGTGTTATGTTTGTGTGTTTCCAGCTGCGCTAAAGGGTAATCGCGCATATTTTAAACATCAGATGTAATAGGAGGAAGCAGTAGTTGGTGTAATAAGTCAGTTTCAGTTAGGACAGTGATAGTGAGACGTTCAGAGGGGGACGAGGTTACTAGATGTTGATCACTTGTCAGGAACATGTTGAGAAAGGTCAAGGAAAACAAATTTAGCCGAGTTCGGAAGAATGTCAGGATATAGTATATTTTGTCCGGTACGAAGTATGAAGACGTTGTTGACATAACTCTGGAAGGAAACAAAAGGTAAGAGAGACAAAATGAAGCTCGGAGGTTTTGTCATCATTGCATTACTGCCAATCTCTTTTTTAATAAATTATTGTAATATCTTATAATTTACAGGTTCAGTCCATTTTAAATTGTTGCATCTATGAAATGATTTTTTTTAACTAATATTATTGTAAGTATGAAGCTTTGTTTAATGCACTTAACAGCTTGTGCAACAGACAGTTTGTCAATGTTGATCATAATTGCAGGTAGAAGTGAGCCATGGCATCCGACCCCAGCACACCCACGACACCCACATCACCCACGGAGGATAGAGAGGCAACCAAGGAATGGCTGGAGACCATACTGGAAAGTTACCACAAGTCCCTCGAACCTGACTCTGAAATGGATGTCGAAGTTAGTATTCCTGAGGCCCTCGTAAACAGTTGAAGGCTCTTATGTTTATATAAGAAAGTTTACATGAAGAGAGTATAAGCAACGCATGGTTGATAAGTAAGACACCTGTGCAGTAGTTAACCTTTTTTCCAAAACATTTCGCCTATACAGTAGGCTTTTTCAGTGAAATACAGTGAAGGCAGCAAAAGCAGTGATGATGTCAAGTCGATGTAACTGTTACACATGTCTTATTACCTTGTCGGTATTGTATACCATTATCGTATTAACAATTCATGGTTGGTTGTTAATGTTGCAGAAAAGTCTGTCACAATACCGTGGTTGTAAGTGTTGATAACGAACCAAGATCACTCACCACTTGTTCAAGGTTCAGGAGTAGCGCAAAGTCGTTTAATTTGGATTTCCAATTTGTGGGTTTTCTGGAATTTTATCGCACACTTGTAGGTTAATTTGTATAAAAAAAAAAAGTAAGTACTTGTTCAGACCTATAATAAAGTTGTGCTGTTGACAACGTAGTGGTTAATCCCGTGGCCTCAAAGCTGAAGTCAAAAGTGAAACTTTTCGTCGCACTTATTTCACTTATTTTGTAAGCCTAACGGCGTACCGTCCAAGGCGCCTGTGTTAATATGGAAATTTTACTCTTGCAGGAGGTTTTTTGAGTGTGAGTTTCACTGGCTGCATGTTCACCGTGGGATTAAGATCTCTGCCATGAAACTTTTGCACACACACTGCTTGTTTAACATGACTAAAGTTTTATAAACTGCTTAGGGTCATCCAGAGATTTTCCTCCTCAATGAAAACGGAGAAATGTAGCTATGTAAATTTTTAGGTTTAGTAATTCTGTTTTTACAAAAGCTAACAAGGTTAGATTACGTTCCTATTTTTTAGGGTGCAAAATAAAAACAAATGGCTTACCCAAAATTTACATACTTAGATATCAGACTCCAATATTTTCCTTGGAAAGGCTGGGGGAAGGGGGGTATAAGGGCACATTTTACCATATGCCATCAGATATTTGTTTCCTAAATTAATTTTGTATAAACGGTTAGGTCTAAGCACAGCTCAGACCTCTAAAACACAATTGTCCTCAAAGATTTAAGTTTTACCATGAATTAAGGAAAGATCCTGGACTTCACTTTACTAAACACACAAACCAAATGCGATAGTAATTATGGACAAGGTAGATTATAGTAAAAAAATTAACATTTTGTTAGAAGACAGAGGCACTTACGTGCCTCTTAATATTGCTTTTCTGAGTGTTAGTGACTCTCCCCTCCCTGCCACAGCTGCGAGAGTGGAGCGTCAGCCCGGCTTCAGGAGGTGAGCGAGAGGGGTATCTGTCTGAGCAGCTGTCTGTGGGCGTGTCTTACAGCGCCCGTGGCAAGGATCACCACGCCCACCTCTTGGCCAAGCTCCTTCCACAGGATCCCTTCAATCGAGCCTTCGTTATAGAGACGCTTTTTGATCTCAGGGAGATAAAGTTTTACACAGAGGTGGGTGACGAGGTTGTCACTGGTGATGGGGCAGTGTTGGAGGGTCATAATGGGGAGGGGTTAGTGGGTCATTATGGGGCAGTTAGTGGGTCATAATGGGGCAGTCTAAGTAGGTCATAATGGGGCAGTTAGAGGGTCATAATGGTGCAGTGTTAGTAGGTCATAATAGGGCAGTGTTAGTGGGTCATAATGGGGCAGTTAGTGGGTCATAATGGGGCAATGTTAGTGGGTCATAATGGGGCAGTATTGGTAGGTCATAATGGGGCGGTGTTAGGCCATAATGAGCAGTGTTGGTGGGTCGTAATGGGGCAGTGTTGGTGGGTCGTAATGGGGCAGTGTTGGTGGGCCATAATTGGGCAGTATTGGTGGGTCATAATGGGGCAGTGTTGGTGGGTCATAATGGGGCAGTGTTGGTGGGTCATAATGGGGCAGTGTTGGTCATAATGGGGCAGTGTTGGTGGGTCATAACGGGGCAGTGTTGGTGGGTCATAATGGGGCAGTGTTGGTGGGTCTAACGGGGCAGTGTTGGTGGGTCATAACGGGGCAGTGTTGGTGGGTCATAACGGGGCAGTGTTGGTGGGTCATAACGGGGCAGTGTTGGTTGGTCATAACGGGGCAGTGTTGGTGGGTCAAACGGGGCGGTGTTGGTATGTCATAACGGGGCAGTGTTGGTTGGTCATAATGGGGCAGTGTTGGTGGGTCAAACAGGGCAGTGTTGGTGGGTCAAACAGGGCGGTGTTGGTGGGTCATAATGGGGCAGTGTTGGTTGATCATAATGGGGCAGTGTTGGTGGGTCATAACGGGGCAGTGTTGGTGGGTCAAACGCGGCGGTGTTGGTATGTCATAACGGGGCAGTGTTGGTTGGTTATAATGGGGCAGTGTTGGTGGGTCATAATGGGGCAGTGTTGGTCATATTGGGGCAGTGTTGGTGGGTCATAATGGGGCAGTGTTGATTGGTCATAATGGGCAATGTTGGTTGGGTCATAATGGGGCGGTGTTGGTGGGTTATATGGGGCAGTGTGGTGGGTCATAACGGGCAGTGTTGGTGGGTCATAATGGGGCAGTGTTGGTGGGTCATAATGGGGCAGCGTTGGTTGGTCATAACAGGGCAGTGTTGGTGGGTCATAACAGGGCAGTGTTGGTGGGTCATAATGGGGCAGTGTTGGTGGGTCATAATGGGGCAGCGTTGGTTGGTCATAATGGGGCAGTGTTGGTCATAATGGGGCAGTGTTGGTCATAATGGGGCAGTGTTGGTGGGTCATAACAGGGCGTGTTGGTGGGGTCATAATGGGGCAGTGGGTTGGTCATAATGGGGCAGTGTTGGTCATAATGGGGCAGTGTTGGTCATAATGGGGCAGTGTTGGTCATAATGGGGGTGGTGCTGAAAGTGTCACTTGAAAAATGGTATAATGGTGGTGTTGCGATTAAGGGGCATGTTATTAATTGTGAAGTAATCTGAATTTAAATTAAGACATATGTTGTCATTTGCTTTTAAATACTTAAAAAAGTTTTACATTAACCCTATAAGTGTTAGTTTTATCAGTGTTAATTTCTTCCAGTAAATGTAAAGTTTCTGTCAGGTTAATTAATAATCAAAAATATTGTTATTTTCTGAGTTGGATATAATTTTTTATTTATGTGTAGTTTAATTGTAAATATTAGTTTTCATAACACAGAGAATATATAAGTCAATTAGATCTTGTGACAAAACTGGGAATTAAATCGCAAATTATTCAGCATAATTTGATTCGAGTTAATGAAAGTAAAAAAAAGAAAGACAGCCTAATGTAGAAACTAATTAACTAGAGATCAAGAAATACACCATCCCTGGTTAATAACAAGCAGGCATGACCAGTGCTCAGTGGGGAGGAGATATGACCAGTGCTCAGTGGGGAGGAGATATGACTAGTGCTCAGCAGGGAGGAGATATGACTAGTGCTCAGCAGGGGAGGTAGGGGGAGAAACCAGTGCTCAGTGGGGAGGAGGCATGATGAGTGTTCAGTGGGGAGGAGGCACGACCAGTGCCCAGCAGGGAGGAGACATGACTAGTGCTCAGCAGGGAGGAGGGGCAACCAGTGCTCAGCGGGGAGAATAAAGACAAAACAGTAATAATAATGGTAATAAAGGATTTTATTATTCATGAATGCCTGTTTATGTAAAGTCACAATTCAGAAATTCAGTTAGAGATGAAATAGGCTCTCGCCTCTAAAAAAATAAGGCAGCATCACTCATGACACTGAGCATATATGCAGCATCTGCATCTTCAACTGTCCATGTTGTAAGTGAAATGTACAGTGGTTATGTAGATTTTTTTTTTAAGATTAGGTAGATTAAGCATTTAAGTTTATTTTTAATGTGAGCAAGATCAGGTTAAGTTGCTATGTTAATCAAGGTGCAAAATAAACATTCCCAGACAATTTTTACAACTGTATTTTACCGTTTTCAATTTGCTCTCAATGTTAGGTATTCTTTCATCTTTCAACAAACTGGCTGCATCCCACCGAGGCAGGCTGGCCCAAAAAGAATAATTAAAGTTTCTCTCTTTAAATATAGTAATGTATACAGGAGAAGGGGTTACTAGCCCCTTGCTTCCGGCATTTTGGTCACCTCTATGACACGTATGGCTTATGGAGGAAGAATTCTGCTCCACTTCCCCATGGAGATATTGGGTGTTCTATAGTTATAATATCAGACATGAACCCACATGGAGATACTAAAACAGAATAAAGGTGTCCTGTATATCTGTTTTGTGTTTAGGATTTTACCAAAATATGTATTAATAGTTATGATTGATACTTCACAGATCAAACCAGCGCTGGAAGGAGTTGAGCGGCAGTATCTAACTGAAGACTCTCTTAGCCTTGCCTGGGCCCCAGAGTTATATTATGCCAAACACAAGACGGCTTCAGAGTCCATCCTAGTGCTGGCTGACATGTGTCAACGTGGATACAAGATGCAGGACCTGACTGAGGGGCTGACACTCTCACAGGTGCAGTCAGCACTCACCACTGTGGCAAATGTCCATGCAGCTTCTTTTGCTCTGCAAATGGAGAAACCCCTACAGGAGCGATTTCCATATTTGTTGTCGATGGAACAAGCTGTAGAATCCTTCAACTGTTTAGTTGATAGAGGCCTTCCACTGTTACTCAAATTCCTGGTGTCCCGTAAAGATCGTGCTGAAGTCCGGGAGGGCTTACGAAAGTATTCAGGACGGCGTACAGTGGATGTGCTTCGAGGCATCTTGACTCCATCAGACAAACTCAATACATTGGTGCACTGTGATTTTTGGTGTAATAATCTTCTTTTCAAGAAAGAGGGAGATGCAACATGCTGCTGTGTCATAGACTGGCAGACAGTGATGTATGGGAGACCTGCCATAGATGTGGCCATGTTGCTTTGCACGTCGTTAGAAGCCTCCCAACGACGTAAACATGAAAAGGAGCTGCTGTCATACTACTGGGATGCTTTTACTTCTCGACTCAGCAAATTTGCCATTGAAAAGGATGCAATCACATACACTGAAGATGATTTAAAGGAAGATTTCAAAGCAGCACAGGCAATGTCGGGGCTGGTAGTGGTGGGAAGTGTTGACATTGCTCTGGGTAACACAGCAAGAGAGGAGAGGGTCCTGGACTTACTCTCAGATCTTATGAATGCTGGTGTACTATGAGGCAGGTGGAACAAATCACAAATTTAGAATAAGATTTAATTTTGTACATATAGCTATTCTTGATGTTGATACATTTAAGGGCCGGAAATTAGCTTCAGGCAGGAGAAACGAGCTTATAATAAGGTGGTGCAGCAGGGTCGCTGTTAATTCAGTATGAGCTGAAGCACAACATTAGCTTTTCAAATGCATTGTTTCTGGTTAATGTATAGTCTTTTGTAAAGCTTATTGTTATTTACAGTCAGTTGAACTGTTTAATTCCACTGGCCATAAGAGATGTCATTGCCAATTCTTACAAGACATTGGAAAAACAATCCAAACAATAAAGTATTTTTGTAAGAATTGCAACATGTAGACAATAGAAACCTGACCAATAAATGTATTGGTTTATATGCTGTAATACACATTAATAAAAATATGCACAGAGTCACAGGTCAAGCCAATGCATGTGGCAAAGAACAACAAATATATAATTGGAAAGATTGAGGGAGTTTGAGTTACTGTTGATCGTTTACCTTTGGTATCACCTGTAACTTAACCTGGACCAATTCTAGTACAGTAGATCCCAGTTGTCTAGTAGCTGTAGTCTACCTCCGTATATTAGGATCATACCCATAATGAACTGAATCTTCAATTGCATTAGTGGCACCCATTCAAAGCTTCCTCAAAGCAAGTAGCTAGTTTAACTCCTTCATATTTATAACTTACTAGTGTGCAGTGTATCAAACAGAAAATTTTCTTAAATGATAAATCTCCCAGTTTACAATTATTATAATTTTAGGTTGCAACTTTATGTATTATTTTCACAGTTAGCCTACATTCTCCATAGGCCCCTTTACTCTATATTGTAAGAAAAAGTATATACATTTCAAAGTTAAGTCCCATCTAAGATCAGGGACTCTCAAAAATGTTAAGTAATTTTTGTAGCAATAGATATCATTTTTGTGTGGTACTTGACCTGAATTTGGTTTAATGATCAGGGGGAAATATGATTATAGCTTGAAACTGGTCACGTGACCTCATGGAAGGTACAAGGAAGTGTCAGCACTGCATGAATTTACAAAGGAATCTTTTAATAGTGAAAAACGAATAGTACATGTATATTTTCTCTGTCCAAAAGATTTAGATCTAGTACATAATAAGCTGAAAACACCTTATGGTATCAATATTCCTTGTGGTACCAAAAATAGTGGGATTTAAAATGTAGAAATATTTAAGATACTGCATATGATAGATTGAGATAATGAACTTCATGAACACTATTTGTTTCTTGAATGTTTCTTTGTGTGGAATGCAGAAAGTGCATTGTGACGAGGGTGATGTTATGGTAGGTTAGTAGTAACAGCAGCCAGGACCTGGTCTTAGGGCATCACTTGAGAAGCTGTCAATGACCATCGATTTATTTTTATGTAACATAATACGAGTAAATTTCGCGTGTGTGTAATACATTGTTTGATGTTCACAATACAAGACTGTTATACAATGCTCGTTTCATTAACATCAAATATTACTCTCGGTGAAGTAGATCTAACAAATACAGTGCTTTCAAGCTGAGTTATTACAATAAGATGAAGTCACCATATAATATAGTATGGACAAATGTGGCAGCTTCAAAATAAATATTCTGATTTTCACAGCTCCCCTCCCAATGACAAAAAAAAAAATGTTAACTTGTAATTTGATAATGAAGAGAGATGTACATATTTTTTTTTTACTACAAGCTGTTTAATGAACATTTCAAGATGTGAATTATACAAATATCACCACTGTGTGACCTCGCTGATGGAACTGGTTGCAGAATGACCATGTTTAGTTCCTTGATGCTGGTGAAGCACTCTTGATCCATGTTATGTTTAGGTCCTTAATGCTGGTGAAGTACTCTTGATCCATGTTATGTTTAGGTCCTTAATGCTGGTGAAGTACTCTTGATCCATGTTATGTTTAGGTCCTTAATGCTGGTGAAGTACTCTTGATCCATGTTATGTTTAGGTCCTTAATGCTGGTGAAGTACTCTTGATCCATGTTATCATGTTTAGGTCCCCGATGCTGGTAAAGTGCTCTGTTCTTTATTCTTGCTATACCTGGAGTTTACCTGGAGAGGGTTTTGGGGGTCAATGCCCCCATGGCTCGGTCTGAGATCAGGCCTCATGGTGAATCAGGGCCTGATCATACAGGTTGTTACTGCTGGCCTGATGTTCCTTCTACTTTGTCCTCTATAGGACAAAGTAGGGAGAGCATCTTGCTGCAGCATCAATTGCATTCCCCTGAACCTCGGGTAAAAATTATCTGAAGTGTATACCCTGGTGGTCTCCTGACTGTGCCTGTGCTGTGTTTGAAATGTGTGGTGTGTGGCTGGTACCAATACAACAGAACTGCCAACCAGTTCTTAGCTCTGAAATAGACTAGGGCATGTGCTCACTGTGTTATATGGGTAGCAAAATGTACTTGTCGGCTGGCTCGTGTATCCAATGCCAATTCCACTACTTTGTGTGCAGTCTGGAAGAAGATACAGAAGTTGACTGACAAGTATTTTCCCAACTGTGTTCCCATCTTACAGTTGCTGGGCATAGTGTTGTAAATCCTGTTGAGGTTGTGCTGACTGTGGGCTCGGATTGTCACTTTGTAGTGGCCTTACTCCAGTGTGCTACTGATGGTGCTTCCAAATTGAGCATCTCTCTTGGGCTCAAATTTTCTTTTGCTAAAATACATTAGATCACTTTCACGAGATGCCCTCTTATTCCACATATTTTTCTTTACCTGAATGGTTCCCATATCCTTGAACAGGCTATGATCAAATTTTTCGATCCTCTGTTTGATTGCTGAAAGTCTCACTAAGCCTCCCTGAAAACTGCCTGTCATAGATGCCTAAGCCTCCTTAAAACTCCAGCCTATCTTTCTTGTTTTTTGTCCTAGTCTTATCTAACCCTGATTGTGGTGACCAGTTACATTCTGTATGTTCCCCAGCTACTCTGTCTAAACTTGATCTCATTCATCATCATCATCATGGAGCTTTTTGATCATCCCCAGTTGAGAGCCTATATGTAGAGATGAATGCTCCGTCTTTGCAGGAATGACACGATGCCCATTGTCTCCTTGATCCTTCCATATTTAAAACAGTAACAGCTATTAGTAAGGCTATTTTTGCCTAATCGTCATCCCTATTTATTACACCCCTTTCTTTTCCATATTCATTCTCTAATGACTTTCCTTAATTTGTTTCCCCTTTACTTCTGCCCTGCATCTTACTTTTCCCTCCCTCCCTTGGGAGGTCCCAATTTTTGTGTTTGTTCTTCCCCACTTCCATGTGTGAAAGCTCAGTTACCTGCTCTAACCTCATGCTCTCTCTTTATTGATCACTTTCATTCTCATGGTATTGCAGTGTATATTGGTGGTTCTAAATCTTCTCATGTTGGATATGTAGCAGTTTCTCCTGACAAAATCATCCAAGGTCTTTTACTACACTCAGCCAATGTTTTCACAGCCACGTTGTATAGTAGTCTCCCCTGTATCCATGGGGGATGTTCCAAAACTTACCGCATATACCTGAAACTGCAGATAGCAAACCCTATACATAAGTTGTTTTTTTGTTTACATACATACCTATGATAGTTTAAGTGATAAATTATGTGCAATAAGTCGAGAATTGGTACTTTTTCACTTATGTGGAAACTCTTCACAGCTTCTCTTAGGCTTTGAAAAACTGTTACCATCACTGCTATTGTGCTTTGTGGTCATTATTAAACAAAGTTAAGGGTTAGCTTCAGGCCACGGTAAACAGCGGATAACTGAAACCATGGACACTGAATCCAGTTTTTATGTATACAGTTATGTCCATCGTACACAGTGTCAATGTCCATTTCATCTTTTGTAGTTGTTTGACACCTATGGTGTATTATAGGCTATCCAGAAATTTGACTCCTCTCATACCATCGTCCATCACACAACTTTGAATATGCCCCATTTCTAGTAAACACAAAGATGTCGTCTCTTGCTGGGTACCTGATTATGTTTGGGGTAACGAACTGCTATTCATGGCCATGCAATTTACCCACATGGGTATACCTTTCTAAAACTATTTTTTAGTGATCTTTCGACAACACGTCTGTTGGCAACAATGATGGGCCAAGTAGGATGACATTAAGTTGTTTTCTGTCAAATCACATTTAGATTTTTGGCCATCTTTCCACTGCTGATGTGTTTAGGAGACTGCACTCTTCTGTCAACGTATTGGCCACACGTGTCTCTCATGGACATGGAAAAATGCCTGGCACCGCTCTGCGAGAACTGTCACATTGCATTATTAGTTCACCAAATCTTAATAGATTGCCCACTGTTTCAGTGGGCATGCAATATTCACTACTGATACCTCCAGCATCCCACCACTGACCTCACTGAAAGTCCCACCTTTGATGAAGACTGACTTTTCCACAGAAACTAACTTTGCATGTGCACTGGCTTTAATTTACCTCTTGCATTCTCCCCTACCCTCACAACCCCTTGTCCTCACACACACTTGCCCCTCACCACCACCTAACCTTCACATATACCTTCTCTAGCACATCCCTCCCTGCAGGCAGCACTCTATAACTCAGGTTTAGCGCTTAATTTGACTATATTATTTGGTTTCAAGAAAATAAACAGGGTTGCAGTGATTAGTGAAAACTCAATTTATTAACTAATTTGTTTAGTGCATTTATTATTGAAGTTACCTCTGTAGAATTTGTGGGGACAAGTAGAGGGAGTCTTGATAACTATCACTGAGTGTGAAATTTTGTTGGCAAGATTGCTCTCCAGGTAAACTTTCCAGGTAAGATTAGTTCCTATAATTGAGAAGGCATTAAGTTCATTTACAGTATTAAATATGAATGGTGGATTCATTAGGGTTGGTCAGTACAATTTCTTTAGACAAAAATTTTGTGAGTCCAGTATTTGAATGTTTTGTTAGTCATTTTAATATTGCTTTTTATTTCTTGGAACCTGCTGGCATAATATAGTTGTTTTAGAGTTCTTTACAAGCCTAGTAATGCTGATGTATATCTTTTTAGCCAATTTTTTAAGAGTTAAAACTCATTCTACATTGTTATTCATAGGTATGGTTCTTGTCAATGGTTCTGAGGATGCTCTCTTAGTCCTGAGAGAAAAAAGCTCAAGTGTATCAGTTGCAATATTTATTTCAACATTTATATACCACACACACACAAGCAAAAACCACCATTTCAAAACATACTTATCAGACCCATGTAACCACAAATAAGTGAATACAAGAACAAGTTTCAAAAAATAAGAGGCCGCAACCTGCCACAAATGTCCCTATAAATAACTGGCTGTTTACATGTGGCATGTCCAACTCACTGCAACACATAAACTTGTCCCTCTCAGTCCCTTTGCTGTATAGCCCCTGTGGCTTAGCGCTTCTTTTTGATTATAATAATAATAATAATAATAATAATAACTCTTAGTTCTTTCAATGGAGCTTCCTCGATGCCGGTGAATTGTATCAGCCCTCCACTGGACGGTTCCTGAATGTGTTTTAAAAGTTCTCCACGCACTGCCATTATAGTGCTCGCTGTATGACCCTTGTGGGTTTAGCGCTTAGTTTTGATTATAATAATCGTAGTGCTCCTCATGAGAGCAGTATCAACTGTTTTATCGTTACCAGCACTTGCCTTCAGGTTAATAAGCCATTCACGTGCCCATACGAAGCTAGGCTCGTAGGGAATTTTAAGACCTCTGCCATTGGGTATTCCTACCCTCCTTGATATGGCTAAATTGACTTGTAAGTTAAAAAAAAAAACGTTTGGCTTCTTCAGTAAAAGTTTGTCTCTGACCCCTTAAGGTCCCTTGACGCCAGTGAGTGGAAGGCTCGTAACGTCTGTAATCCCTCAAGGTCCTCTGCAGGTGACTGGAGGAGCTCCTGATGTTTGTAGCCCCTCATCCCTTGATGTCTGACCCCCTCAAGGTACATCGCAGGTGAGTGGAGGGGCTCTTGATGTCTGTAACGCCTCAAGGAAGGTCCCTTATTATCGGTGAGTGGGAATGGGCTCTTGATGTCTATAATCCCTCAGGGAAAGTGTCTTGATACTTGTGAGGGGCTCTTGATGCCACTGGTCTCTCAAAGGAAGGTCTTTTGGTACTGGTGAGAGGCTCTTAGCTCAAGGAATAGGACGTGTCTTTTCCTTTCTTGGATCAAACCAAATTGCCTCGAGTTTTGCGATTCCACCCATTAATGTATTTTTATGACTTCCCAAATGCCCTTGGTCCTTTTCACGGCTTCCTATGTAATTAGGTCTCTCTTCATCACTTCCATGTAATCAGGCTTTTTATTATCACTTCCCCATGTAATTAGATCTCTCTTCATCACTTCCCATGAAATCAGACCTTTATTATCACTTCCCATGCAATTAGGGCTTTCTATCACTTCCCATGTAATCAGGCCTTTTATTATCACTTCCCATGTAGTTAGGTTTATTTTCATCGCTTCCC